GTTTGTGGTGGCTGTTTTTGTTGTTTGTTTCTTCACTTACTGCAGCTTTCCTGCAGTCCTCTGGCACTGCACCCACGTGGACCTTCAGCCCAGAGTGCCCGTGGCCAGGGAGGGGGTGATGGGAGGTGTCCCCACAGCAGGGATGGGACTGGGTGGACTCCAAGGGCCTTTCCAACCCAACCATGCTGTCAGTCTGTGAACCATGAGGCTCCTAAAGGAGATGCTTTGTACAGTTCCAGGTTTGGGCTTCGTTACAAGGGATCACTGGCAGGGGACATTGCAGTGCATTTCTGCTGACGTTGGGCAAAACATCCACTGGTGCCTCCCTCTCAGGGTTGCAAAGAAAAGCTGCATTCCTCCTCCCACAAGCACTACATCCCTCTCTGTGCTCAGTTTGCTGTGCGTGGGTCAGGGCAGGGCCATGAGCCATAGTGGTAAAGCTCTCAGAGCCCTGGGCTGCCTGGAGCAGGGAGGGAGCCCAGGAGCCCCTTCTGAGTCCTTCTGGATACAGTTCTGGAGGTAATGGAACAGGAGCACAAAGCTTGCTCATTTAAGGTTCACTGGAGTTGGCCTAAATGTAAGCTTCACAAAGATTTTAAGAATTAAGTTATTTCTGCTGTTGCTTGAGAAATTAACTAACAAATACTGCTCATACTGTTAACAAATCAATACATAAGATGAAGAGAGGGCGCTTTGTTTTGTCAGTTAAAAGAGAAGTAATATTGGGAGGGGAAAAAATATCCCCTTCTCAGGATTTTTTTTCCCCATTTGTTATATGGTTTCCCTTATTTATGAAAGTTATACTAAAGTGACCAAATGCATTTGAGGCTGGAATGCTGAAATTTCAGCACAACTGTGAAATTGCTCCTCAAAGCCAACTGACATTCTCCCTCTGCCAAAAAAAAAAAAAAAAAAAAGAAAGAAAAAAGAAAAAAAGATAAAAAATAAAAAAAGCTACTGCCAACACCAAACCATTCAAGTGTCCCAAACACACCACCAAACAAAGGCGCCATTAAGCTGAGCTTCCTTGTTGGAAAACGCGGGGAGAAAAGAAGACAAGACAACATTGTCAGCCCGGGCCTTTGTCCCCATGCCAGTGACATGGAGATATCTCTCTCCTGACTCAGTGAAAAGCAATCACCAATGTGCAAGAGGTCAGGTCTGCAGTGTGAAGCAGCAGAAGAAACCTCGACTGGTACACTTGCAATTGATGTAAACCATTTTCTTTTGCAGTTACACTGCCCGAGGTAGTTTGCAGTGTGAGTCAGGTTATCCTCTGAGTGTCCCAAAACCATTTCGTAGATCAGGGAGTTTGTAAACATCCCAGAGGGACAAGAAAGGCTTGGCTCCTTTTGTAACATGTTTCATCTCCCTGTGTTTCCTAGAGCTCCCTCCTCCTTTTCCAGCATGCAAGCTGCGAAGCAAGCATGATTGAATGCCACAGCAAAAGCCAAAATCGATTGAATCTCCACTGCTGGATTCTTCTGAGCACTTTCAGAAATTAACAAGTTAAAATGACAAAGGGAGAACCACACAGATGCTCTTCTTGGGATTCTGGTTTTGGGCTTGCAACATTCTGTGTCCTGCCAGTTCCAACACAACTCTCCCTTCACCTCTCCTCCATCTCCACCATCCTCCAACTCTGCAGCTTTTGGGAAGAGTGAGCTGCAGTGCATGGGCCCATCAGTGCAGGCACCTTGACCCTGCTACTACAAGGCGTCCAGCACATGTGGCAGGGCTCTGAGAAGCATTGCATCAGGTGCTGAAAGCTCAGCAGCTACAGCAACACGCTGAACTTGCACACAGTGTTCGTGCCTCACAGAACTTAAATGTAAGATGCCTGGAGCATCTCCCACACGAGGAAAGGCTGAGTAACATGGGCCTGTCCAGCCTGGGGAGGAAAAGACTGAGAAGGGATCTGATAAATGTTTATAAATTTCTAAAGGGAGATGGGAGGCAAATGGATGAGGCCAGGCTCTTCTCGGTGGTGTATAGTGATAAGACAAGGAGTAATGGCCTAAAACCTGAACATAGGATTTTCTATGCTAACATGTGGAAGATCATCTTTACAGTAAGAGTGACTGCACTGGATCAGGTTGCCTAGAGAGGTGGTGGAGTCTCCTACTGTGGAGATATTCAAGACCTTTCTGGACACCCACCTGTGCAATCTGCTGTAAGGAACTGCTCTAGCAAAGGCTTGGACTCAGTGATCTCAAGGTCCCTACCAATCCCTTCTTTGATTCTGGCTGGGGCCCTGGGCACCCTGTCTGGTGGGGGGCAGCTCCTGATTCCATTGAGCTGAACCCAACCCTGACAGTGAGGCACAAATGTGGGCAGGAATTTTCACTTACACTGCCCGAGCACACCAGTGCCCTAAAAAAAAACCCAGAAAACAAAAAACATGGGGCCATTTTCTCAGCTCACAGGAGTTTGTGTCATTGCAGCCCCAGCAGGAGTAGCCACACAAATTAAAGCAACCCATAATTTGCCTGACAGCCATCAGCACTTTTCCTTCAGCACCATTCTTCACCAGTCAGACTTCCATAGCCTCCAAGGCATCTCTCAGTCATTGTGGTAACAGAGGTAGCAGCACTCTGCCACACACAAAACCATCATCTACAACCAGAGGGAAAAATAACACAACAGAACACAGCAGGAGGTGGGGTGGGAGGGATGCACAGAAAGAGCTCTGGTTGGGCCAGGATGCCCCAAAGACTTCACTGTTGGGTGCAGAGGCTCCAGTGCCCTGCCACCCATCACACATCACTGCCACCTCCATCACACCTCGCCAAGCTCTCCTCCCCCCAGGGTCCCACATCTCTGCCCCTGGCTGGAAAACTCTCTGCTGCTGCCTATCAGGTGAAGTTAGACCTTGTCACTGCCAGTGGAAGACTCTCAAATATTTCCTTTGAATATATTCTCTAATTTTTTAAGAAAAATGTTGTGGGTTTTTTTTTTTCCCATGCTCTAGCAAGCCAAAACCGCAGCCACCTTATTGCCCTGTCTTTCCCTTATACTGCTACCTGATCTCCCCCCAGAATGACACGTCTTCACAAAGCATTAGAGATAAATTGCCCCACAGTTCAATTACCAAATGACCAGAAGCCAAAAGCACACCTGAGGGGTGGATACAGCTCTTGAAGCTTTTACAGTTTCATCCCTGGCAAAGAAAAACATCTTTGCAATGGGCTGATAATTTGTCACTTATCAGCAGCCAGTGTTTAAATGAACCAGGCGGATACAAGCTGGGAATTCACATTTAAAACAGAGCATCACATCAGGTTCTTGAACTTCACGTGAAGATTTAGACACCCTCCAAAAAATGTATTTGTAGGCGTTTTTTTTAATTTACTACAATTACCAAAAAACCCTCTCTAAATTCAACTCAAAGGCCACGCAACCAGGCCTGAAGCTCCCTGCTGCCCAGAGCGTGGCTGTAAGGTTTGGGCAGATGGAGAGGCACTGCCGTGGGTGTCAAGAGCACCAAGTGCACAAAGCAGAGCCCTTAACCACGGCCTTCCCAACACCACGTATTTAAGGGCAGAGCACCCCAGAAACAGGCTGAGGGAGTTAGTACAGTTAGCACTCTGGGATGTCTGTATTTTCAGCTAAATTGTTGGAATGGGTGAATATTGCACGGAAGCCGTAAATAAAGATATTGTCTGGCTATCCACAAACACCTCTTTTTGGCTCAGCAGGGAGCGGCACGGCTTGAAGAAACAGAACAGAGCGACTGCAGCAGCAACACTGAAATAACACCGCGAGCTGACACCAGACAAAAGCTGTGACTTGACGTGAGCCCACGCCTGGCTGGGGGTAAGTGGTTCTGAAAGTTCTAGGAAACTCATTCAGATGATTGCCTTAATGATAGAGGTTAAACAGACCGCAGTATCTAACCAATGCAGCGGATATGCCAGTGTATGGATCCAAACAACTGTAACAGGCAGCCTGCTGTGAGTAAGAATCTACTGACATACACTAATATTGCAAGCTACTATAGCAAAGATATCATAGCAGCAAATTAAAATGCAGTTCTAAAGTCCAGGAGTGAGGGAAAAAAAAGAAGTAAAACAAACAAAAAAAGAAACAAAAAAAACAAAGACAGCCTCAAGAAGAACTCTAGAAAGCACATTTAAGTGGCAGTGAGGAAGAGGAAAACATTACTCTCGTTATACTAGAGAAAATGTGAAAAGAATACAAGGTATGGCTCTCCTCACTCACATCCAGACATGGGTCAGGAGGATTTATTTCCCTCTGGAGAAGGTTACTACGTTAAAACAAAGGCAATGAATGGAATGCTTCTGAGTGCTCCAGGCCCACGCCTTTCTTTCATGGAGCAGTGCAGGTATCACTGCGACATCGCTCCCTCATGATGGATAGACACAGGGCTGATCCCCCATGACTGGACAAGGCATAACCTGCCCAGGTTTGGCCTTTGGAAGCCCCCTGCATGAGCTGTAGGTGTTGGTGGGGATGGGCACCACTAAGCAACCAGACACAGAGCGGCTCCTTCCAGCGGCTCACCGAGAAGCTATTGGATGAGTATTCCCAAAGGCTGGTGACCCAGGCAAATTTGGACCTGTGATACAGAGCTGAAGAGCTCTCTATCCCATTACCAGTCCCGAAGACCATCTGGTCCCCCACTCCCTGATTAAATAAAAACGCTGCATGCACCGCATCCTCCAGCACAATTAACGCACCTTGGTTGGATGATGCTTTTTGGGCGAGGGAAAGAAAACCAAAAATTCTGGGAAATAGGTCAGTCGGTCGCACCCGCGGAAAAGACCCCAACACCCTTGATCCGTTTTACCTTCCAAATAACCATTTCCTTCAACGAAGGTGAAACCAAGAGGACACCACGAGCCGATTTCACAGAGCACCCCGAGCTGGAAGGGCTTTGCAGCACCCGCCTCGCCTTCCACCCACCTCCAGCACCCCACAGCCCGGCACAAAGCGCTGCCATTGTCCGCGCTGCCATTGTCCCCACGCGCGGCCCTTACCGGAGCTGTCCATGGTGCTGCCGTCGGCGCGGTGCTGCTGCTGCTGCTGCCGCGCGGGGCTCCGGCCGCCCGCCCCCACCGCGCCGGGCCCACCGCCGCCTCCCTCAGCGCCGCTCTCCACCAGCTGCAAAGATTCATAGCCGTCACCTCCGGGTTTCTTGCGGTAGCCGCCGAGCAGGCTCATAGGGGCGAGGCGGGCGGGCGGGCAGCCTGCCGTGCCGCCGCGGGCAGGACGGAAGATGAGCGCTCCGGCCGCCCCGAGGGGAGGAACGGGGCGGGACGGGGCGGCCGCTGAGCTCTGCCCGCCCCCGCGGGCCCGGAAGCAATCGGAGGGCCGCGGCCGCGATCCGCGATCCCGTGGAAAGAAAGATCTTTAAGGAAAATGGTGCATCCGTACATCCTGCGCCCGCAGCACTGCCCGCTCCCAGCGCGACCCCTGAGCTCAGAGGAGGAGGTTGTACAGCTGGCGGGAGGTTCTTGAGATAGGATCACCGAATGGGTTAGAAGGGACCTCAAACCCATCCAGTCCCAGCTCCTGCCATAGGCAGCTCCCCCATCCGTGGTCTTGGGCACCTCCAGTGACGGGGAACCCAGCTCTCTGGGCAGTGGTTTCAGGGCCTCACCACCCTCATGGCAAAGCATTTCCTCCTAACAGACAACCTAAATCTCTCCTCTTACAGTTCAAAGCCAGTCAGAGAAACAGAAGGGTTGGAAGGGACTTCTGGAGATTTCCCAGTCCAATTCTCCCTGGGCAGCTGTACCAGGCTCTGCCACCTTGGAGTAAATAAGTTTTTCCCCAGTGTTCAGATGGAACCTCCTACGTTTTAGTTTGTGCCCCTCATCCTGTTGCTGGACACCACTGAACAGAGCCCAGCCCCACCCACTCAACTCCCAGCATTAGCTATTGATCAGCACTGATCAGATCCCCCTCAGCTTCTCCTCCCCATGCGCACAGCCCCAGGGCTCTCAGCCTGTCCCCATCAGGAGATGCTCCAGGCTCCCACCATCTCTGCACTCTCCACTGGGCTCACCCAGCAGTTCCATGACTGCCCTGAACTGGGCAGCCCTGCTCTGAGCTCAGTGCTCCAGCTGTGTCCTTCCTGGGCAGAGTAGAGGGGGAGGATCACCTCCCTTGATCTGCTGGCCACACTCTGGGCAGTGCACTCTGGATCCCATTGGCCTTCTTGGCCACCAGGGCACGCCACTGCCTCACAGCCAACCACTGGTATGGGAAGTCAACCAGATCCTTCTCTGCATAATTCCTTCCTAGCAGACTAGCCCCTAGTCTGTAACATTCCTCTTCATCCTACCACTCTCAGACACCCCAAAACCCTGCCAGTGCAGCTGGGTGCTGTACCAGTTACCTTGTTAGCACTCCAATTTACTTGTAGCTGTTCACACGTGCACAGACTTCAGACCAACACAAAGCACATCCCCCAGCATCTGATGAGCCATGCCTAGCTCTGTGCACCTGGTAGCATTCTTCCCTTTCACACGAGACAGAGGAACTAAGAGATGATCCAAAGAAGCAACCATTATCAGCTCTTCCAAATTGATTTTTTTTAATTAAAAGAAAATAAAGAGGGAAAAGAAGTTGATGCATCCAGACACAACAGCTGTGCCTCCAGTCTCTTACAAAGAAGGCACAAAGTGCTCTGCTTAAGAAAAATAAATAAATAATCACAGGCTTGCTATGAAAGCAATAACCAAAACTTGAAATATTGCTGACACTTGGCTTAAACTCTCCTCTCCCCCACCGCAGGGCAGTGGGTATCTGGCACAGCCGTACCTCATTGCATGTTTTTGTTTATGTAACTCCAGCAATTTTACATTGCACTGCAAACAAGGTACATCTGTGACCCAGAATTTTCCTCAGAAAAAAAAAAAAAAACAAGCAGATTTACAAGCAAACAAACTAAAATGAGTTAACCTGACATAAGTGGTTCACGGTAGCAGCTTGAGTTTAAGTTCGCTGCCCTCTCCTTACTGGGCTGTTAATACATTGCTGTCTGCGTGTAGGTAGTGATGCTCACCCACAGGAATGTGCTCCCTTCCCTCAGGTGCCCATTTGCAGCACCTTAATCAAGAAAAAATAAAGTGACTTCCAAAAGTGTGAGCAAAGAAAGGAAAAGAAAAACAAAAAGACATGGGGAAACAGCTGCTTAGAATAATTCATCAACATCCCCAAAGGTTTACTGATGCCACCAGATAATCCAGGTGTCATATGTGCATGGTGAGGCTTCTGGCAGGTGCTGTAGGAGCATGCAGTGCTAGGGAGGGCTGCACCTGGCTAAAGGCTGGGGAGGGAAGAGCTCCCTGCTGACCTCCCAAGGTCACTTGGTAGCCCAGCCCCCAACCCTGTGCTGCAGCTCTCCTGGGCAAAAGTCAGTGTTAGCAGCCGTAATCCAGCACCAAATATCTGGAGGTGCAACTTCGTTTTCTTCCAGCTCTCCCCTAACGAGATGAGCAGTTAAGGTGAAATATTAAACTCTTAATTCCCCATGAAAACATCGCAGTGTTGTAAGAACTACAACTAAAGCTTGAAAATTAATTTACCATCCGGGGCGATACCTCCAAAACTCAATGAGCTGAACATTTGTTCTAAGGCATTTCACTGTGAACCATGAACCCTCTCAGCACAGAGTGTTTCTGCAGGAGGCCCAGAGCCAGGTGTGACCGCACAGATGAGGGCACACAGTACCAGCAGGGCTGTGCTGGGGCTGCTCTTGTGGGCTGAAAAATGCACGTATTGTTAAGGAAAGCAAGGCTTGCTCAAGCAGCTTAACTCCTCATTCCTCACGTGGTTGGACCTGGGAGCAACAGTCACTCTACTCCAGAAAGAAAAACCTAGCAGAACTTTTTTGCTTGTTTCTTAAATTCAAGTCTGGAAGTTTCCTTTAATCTTACCCCCAAGAAAGACCACGCTATCACTGACTGAAAATAAACATACAGAGCTCGGATTTTGTACTTCTACTTCCAAAAAGCCCCTTAGCCCCAGGGATGGGACTTCCCTCTTCCCCTTCACTCTCACCCCACTCCTTGCAATGGGACCCTGGCCCATCACTACGTGCTCCAGACAATTAATATTTTGTCTTTCCACATCTTCAAAGCACTCAAATCCCAGTCAAACCACCTCAATTCACAGAACCCCTGATTTAGGTTCCCTTCAACAACTCTTTAATGTGTATTCCACAAAATGTGCTTTCTGGAGAATGAGAGAGAAAAGAAAAAAAAAAAAAAAAGGAAAAAGAAAACACAACAGCACTCCTTTAATTTTCTTTACCTTCCCTTCATAAGAAGCACTTGCAGCCATGCTCTGGAGAACCCTTCAGCACCAAATCCTGAGCCCTATGGAGAGCTAGAGCAAAAACAATTGGTTTGCTACGGATCTGCCAGAACAACCTATGGCAGCATCACATTGACCCACAGAAGCCCCACATTCTGAACCAAACCCCAAAACAACCCTCCCCCAGCCTCTGTGCTGCCTGCTCACATCAGCTCAGCCCCAGCAGGCAGCTAAGAACCTGCTCCATGAGCATTAGCTTTGACCTGAGCTCCTACAGTACTCCTTCAGCAGAAGAGCATCACTGCATCTTTCTGTCCAACCTTTTCTTCTGGACACAAAAAGAAACTTACTCTAAGTCACCATACTTAGGGAAAGAGCTGCCTCACCAGCCCTGCCCCCTGGGAGGGCTCCAATGAACTCAAGTCCTCTCCAGCTGCCAGCATCTTAAATAAGAGCATCTTGTTTAACTCTAGTTAAGCACATTTGATTGAACTGATTAAAGCCAGCAAGCCCCTGTCTGGGTTAGCTCTGCCTCCCTTTGCATGAGCAAGCAGCACTGATGAACTAGGAGAAATAATTACACCTCAGAGAAGAGTTGTAGGTCATTATGAGGCTGTATGATTGAGGCTTTGTTGCTTCTTGGCCTAAGAACCACAATGCCTCATCCTACCTCCCCAGTGATGTGGCAATTATCAGATCATTTTTAACCTCTGCAAGAGGCAGCAAGTGAATGTTCTTGCTTACAGCCAAAGGGTTTATCTTGCTGCTCATCTTCCCTAAGACTAACAGAAGCAACAGTTCTCCTAAGCACCCATTTTCCCTGAAAGCATCCTGTCCCCAGCGGGGCTGACCTGCATGAGTCAGCTGGGCTCTCCTGTGACCATATGCCTTATCTGCAGCATCAGGCTCAGTCTTTGGGTTCCAGCCCAAATGACATCAGGATGTAAATGACCGGTGCAGGGAGAAGGACACCCCTCACCCTCACCTCTGGGCCTTCCTTCATCACTTGGGCAGTGGCATGGGCTGGCCAGGAGCACCGCTTCCCCTGCACTGCTCCAGGAATAGGCATGTGGCAGCAAAATGGGTGAAAGCATTTGTTCCAGAGCCAGAAAGAGGACTTCAGAGCAGTGTCAGGATTGTGCTGAGGATAAATAAGCAACATTTGGACTGGAGTCAAGGACAGCCATGTGGTTCCATCTCCTGTCTATGCCTAGATGTGCTGGAGAAATACAGACTGCTCAGTAGTGCAGCAGGTCACTGCTGTGCTATGTGCTTTGCCACAGGACTGGGATCTTTAGGGAGCTGGCTAGAGAGGGTGGTGAGAGGATTCAACCCTTTGTGAGCCCCATCTGCTATTTTGAAACTTCTGACCTGGTGATTCCTGCCTTGTTTGTCTCTGATGAAAAGCACACATGGCCCTGAGAAAGCCTCAGACTTGTTTGTGTTAGACATGGCTTTATCACCGGGACCTTTGCTTTCCTGCAGCTGAGGGCACCATGAGCCTCTGCAGCAGTCAGGCTGGCCAAAACGCACAGATCCTGGATGGAATACAAAAGCATCTGTCAATCAGTCATAAGCTCATTTCAGAGGTGTTTGTGGTCTCTATTGGAGCACCTGGAAAGGAAACACCGGTTGCCCTGAACGCTGATAGCAATAGAAGTGCTCACACAAAGACGTGAGTTCTCATCATAGCAGCAAAAGTGAATTACTATCATCCCAAGTATGTGGGGAGTTTGGGTTGGATGGCCTCACTGGAAGCATCTCCAGAACCTCAGTGAGCAGCTTCCATGGCAGCTGGGCCAACCAAAGCAATTGGGGCACAGGGAGGAAGAAAAAAGAGCAGCTTGGGAGTTGTTACAAAGGAAAAGCTGAACCTCACCAGGAGGTTCAGAAATGTAGAAGATGGAAAGACAGCAGCCTGTGGGTTTTGCATTCTCCTGCTGGTCGTTGCTCCGGGGCAGACACTTGGCCATGTGCATCCAGTGCACACAGATCAGCCCTTCCTGTTCCCTCCCTGCCTTCCTCCCCTTCATCTACACAGCTTATCATTACTTTGTGTTCTAGTGCCTTGCAATGGATCTGTCGTTATCACCCTGTCCACTTCTGCCCTCTGTGATGGTACACAGCAGGGATTGCAGTCTGTGGGATTTTGTATAGTGCCCCTCCATCCTGATACAGTGCACAGCCCACTCATCCCATGCTCAGGGACTGTTTGCATGGAGGCAACAAGCAGGGATTTGGGTAAAAATCAGGTATTTTTGTGCCTAACTGCTGTCCATTCATAGCTCCCCTTTCACTGCTTATTCCCATCCTCATGCACATTGCAAATAGCCCAATGCCACGAAAACCTGGGCCTTAAAAGCTTGTCTGCAAGCCTTCAGAATGTGTTATGTGTGATCTCAAGGTGAAGGAGAGGGATGAGTTCAGAAGCACACTGGCATCTCCATAGCAGGGGTACTGCATCCATCACCCTACAGCCCTAGAAAAATCCTTGCCTGTTGCAAGACCCAGCGCTTGCAACAGCACCATTCTGCATTTCTGTTCGGGAGGGAACTGTTTGCATTTGAAAAAGGCCAGTGATAAATCAAGGGGAGAAATTGGTAGAAGCGAAAATCGTTAAGGTTGGAAAAGACATCCCCAAGTGGGAAATGAGGGCTCCTCAGAGACACAGCCGTGCTGCAGGAGCTGCTGCGTCCGCCCCCACCACGGCTCAGGCCGGGTTTTGCTTTCATCAGGAAATAAAAACGCTGCAGAAATAGAGATTAAGATGAAAAGCTTCAGCCCTGCTGGAAGAGAGCGGGCTGACAGCGCCTGGCTGCTTCTCCCAAAGCTGCTGGGGTGGGCAGGGGACGCACATCCCCACCGCAGGCCCTGCCTCCCCGTGCCCCTCTGAGGGTCTGTTAGCACATCCTATTGCCTTGGGTCAGTTTCCCAGCTGGGATGCAGACCCAAACGGGCACCGTTTTCCATTGTTCCTATTTTAGTTTCCTGAAAAAAACTTATTTAGGCAGAAATCTATACATTGCCTACCTATCAACACAGGGTTCCATCCCCTATCGTAAGGTGAACTGCCTAAATCAGTATTCGTATTTTATTATAAGAAATCCAAGGAGATATTTATAGCTCTCCCCAGGGCCGCTCCACCCGCCGTTGGGAAGCGCCCATAATCCCATTTGCGGCGTTCGGGAGCCGCAGCGTCACGGTGCCAGCTGGGATCGCAGCCTCGGGGCTTTATTCTCCCAATCTGCTGCGCGGAGCG